TGTCCCTTGTTTTCTGTTTGCCTTTCAGTGTTTGACACTTATTTATTAATCCTGTTTGATAAAATTCTATTTTTTTAAAATGTGGTTGTTATATCTATTTTTTCAGTGACATAGATTTTCTTTATTTTAATACAATATTATTTGTCATTCTAAGCTGTGCTCTGTTTTTTAGTTATATTTTTTTAAAAAAAACTTTGCCTGTTTGTAGGCACACAGTGAGGAATTAACTGAACTGTGCTATAAGATTCGACAGCTGTGAGTCACCTCCCTCCCCATGTCATGTGACCAGTGCTTGTATTAACAAAAAAGAGTGAGCATCTCTCTGTCTCTCTTAGTTTTGGAGGGATAAGAGCATTCTTGTGTGGGTCAGAGTCATGGAATCTAGCTGGATTCCTGAAAGCAAATGCAGGAGATTGAGATGTGACCAACTGAAACTCAACCAAGAAGTCTATACTGAGTCATCAAAGGGCGGTCCCATTAATGGAGTTTTGTCACTAAGGCTCCACCATATAAAAGTCCCGAACTGGACCATCAACTGACCTTGTGTGTCCATGTGTTCAAATGCCTCATTTGTATGAGACATTTCTAATTCAAATTACCACAGTGGGATTGTTGAATGTATGTCAGATGTGCTGAGAACTTGGGTTCTAGTTTGGGACTTTTGGAACACGTAGATGTGGGGTACCTGGAGGAACTGTGGACTTGCGAATAGACACTTTCTTATTCAGTGTCAGCAAGCACCTAAGTGATGTGGGAATGATTTCTTACTAATAAAGAAACTGCCTTGGCCCATTTTATTGGATAGAAAATTAGGTAGGCGGAGTATACAGAAGAGAATTCTGGGAGAAAGAAGGTTAGAGGAAGAGTCGCCATGATGCTCCCACTCCAGACAGACGCAGGTTAAGATCCTCCCTGGTAAGCCAGCTCGTGGGCTACACAGAATATTAGAAATGGGTTAGAACAATATGTAAGAGCTAGCCAATAAGAAACTGGACCTAGCCGGGCCAGGCAGTGTTTGAAAGAATACGGTTTCCGTGTAATTATTTCGGGCATAACCTAGCCATGCGGGCGGCGGGGTGCTGGGGACGCAGCCCTGCCGCTCCTATTTCAACAATTGTGTATCTATAATCATTTTCTGACCAGGAGAGTTTCTTGGGTTTTTTTGTTTTTGTTTTTGTTTTTTTTTTTTTTTTTTTTTTTTGAGACAGGGTTTCTCTGTAGCTTTGGAGCCTGTCCTAGAACTAGCTCTATAGACCAGGCTGGCCTCGAACTCCCAGAGATCCGCCTGCCTCTGCCTCCCCAGTGCTGGGATTAAAGGCATGCGCCACTACTGCCTGGCTGACCAGGAGAGTTTTAAAAATGCTAAGCAGGTGTGGCTAGGACCAGTGTGCAGCTTTGGCTGTTGGCTCTGCCCTGTTCAGCTTTTCAACACGGCAGAGGTTAAGTTCACCACCAGCTCTGGGGGCCATGCTCACCACCCCAACACCGGGAAGCTGTGGGCTCATGTCACCACCAAGCTGCTTGTAGCATGTTGCCCATAAACCTTTTTTATCGTATGAGTAAAAGCTAAATCCTCCATGATGCAGCACACTGCGTGGCTTGGAGATGCGAGAATCCATCACTGTGTGTTCAAACCGAGGCCCCCTCCTCATTTTTTTAGCTTTCTCAGGTCACTCAGGAAACTCGAGTGCCCCATGTTGTTATACCAAATGTACCCCCTTATTTTTTTAAGCTTTCTCGGGTCTTATGTGGAAACTCGAGTGCCCACGTTGTTACACCAAATGTAGCTGGATACTTTTCTGTGTCCCGCCTGGACCAGTTTTCTCCCACCCACGAGTCCCTGAAGCTGCTTATAAAATAAATTATTTGAAACTAATATTAATTATAATTACTTGACCAGTGCCTCAGGCTTCTTACTAACTAGCTCTACGTAAAATTAACCCATTTCTAATAATCTGTGCACCATCCATAACCCAAAGCTTACCGGAAATGCTCTGGCATCTTCCTCCTCCAGCAGCTGCTGGCGTCTCCTCACCTCTGTCTTCTTCCTCTCTGTCTCTCTGCTTGGATTTGTTGCCTGGCTGTCTTCTGCCATTGGCCAAAGCATTGTCTTTATTAACCAATGGTAATAAAGCATATTCACCTACAGAGGGGCATCCCACATCACTCTAGCCCTCTGAAATGGTAAACTTGCAAATTAAACACTTTCCTTTAGCCTGGCGGTGGTGGTGCACGCCTTTAATCCCAGCACTCCAGAGGCAGAGGCAGGCGGATCTCTGGGAGTTCGAGGCCAGCCTGGTCTACAAGAGCTAGTTCCAGGACAGGCACCAAAGCTACAGAGAAACCCTGTCTCGAAAAAAAATTAAAAAATAAAAACAAAAAACACTTTCCTTTATAAGTTGCCTTGGTCTCATGGTGTTTTATCACAGGACTGGAAATGTAACTGAGACCCCTGTGACCCCAGCACTTGGAAGATGAAGGAAGGAGGATCAGGAGTTCAAGGTCCTCCTTAGCTACAGGCTAGCCTGGGAAACAGGAGACCTTATCTTAAAAAAATATATATTAATTAAAAAAAAATGTTGCCAATCATGGGAGTCTGTGAGTTCCAGGCCATCCTGATCTACACTGAGAGTTACAGGAAGCCCAGGACTACACAGTGAGACTCAGTCTCAAAAGTAAGTAAATAAATGAATAAATAAATAAATATGTATAGCAGAAACTAGTAAATCTACTACAGCCTAACACACACACACACACACATACACACACACACACACACACACAAAAGCATGTGAGGGCCCTGTAGAAGAAAGCCATATTCACTCAAGGAGACATGGGTGTAATTGCTAGAAAACAGCCTGGATCATGCTATGTACAAGCCTAATAAACATATTTTAGCTGGGCGGTGATGGCGCACACCTTTAATCCCAGCACTCGGGAGGCAGAGACAGGTGAATCTCTGTGAGTTCGAGGCCAACCTGGTCTATAGACCTAGTTCCAAGACAGGCTCCAAAGCTACAGAGAAACTCTGTCTCAAAAACAAAAACACAAACACAAACAAAAAAACAACCCCCCCCCCCCAAAAAAAACAACATATTTTAAATGTCAGTGTTACAAATACAAACTGGGGGCTGGTCTAGTAAAGTAACTGTGATCAGCAGAGATGACTCACTGGCGGCTACAGGTGGCAATTAGGAGTATGACATGTGGGAAAGAAGCAATCTGACTGGCAAATACTGGCAGACTTTCTTCACCACATGTAAGATGAGAGGACTCTGGCCCACAAGCAATCTATGTGTCAGGAAGAATGCAAGTTTTAATTAAACATTAATGTTAGTCAGCCACTATTGTAAATGCTTCATGAAATTACTGACTAGGCTCACATAGACCAGGCTAGCCTCCAGCTCATCCTTGAACTTCTGATCCTTGTGCATCCAACTCTCAGATACTAGGATTACAAGCAGACACCACCATGTCCAGTATGTGTGATTCTGGGTATCAAACCCAGGAATTTATGCATGCTGGACAAACATAGTACCAACCAAGCTACATGCCTAACCCTCAGATACTTAAGTCAAATCTATGCCAAATAAGCCTGGCGATGGTGGCGCACGCCTTTAATCCCAGCACTCGGGAGGCAGAGGCAGGCGGATCTCTGTGAGTTTGAGGCCAGCTGGTCTAGAAAAGCTAGTTCCAGGGCAGGAACCAAAAAGCTATGGAGAAACCCTGTCTCGAAATAAAAAAAAAAAAAAAAAAAATCTATGCCAAGTAAAAATACTGGTGAGATTTGTTTTCTCCATCAGCAGATAAACGGATAATGAAAATAATGATACATTTGTAAAATGAAACACTATTCACCTCTAAAAATAATGAAATCATAAAATCTACAGGGAATGTGTAAATTTAGACTGTATAATAAATATTAAGCAAGGTCATACAATCTCTGAAAGAAAAAAAACTGTATTTGCTTTCATATGGGGTTTCCAGCTTATTATAAACACACATGTATGTAAAGAAATGTACATGTGGCTACATTATAACATATAGAATGGAGAACAAGAAGGGGTAAAAATCAGGTAGTGAGGAAGACCTGCAAGCAAGGTAATGAACTCATGAAAACGATATAAAGCTAATTGAATTTTTGGAGGGCTTGGCACTGGATAAGTATATAAATATGTACTTGAGAATGAAAGTGCAAAATCCAGTGTGATGCTTCACAGCTTCAGAACTCTGTAGAGAAGTTCACTGAATGCATGAAATCTCATCAATGCGGCTGCCTGAACAGTGATGACACCAATCGTCACACTCACAGGGAAGTGCAAAAGCTCTCAGGGCCTCCACCCAGAAAAAGAGCTACAGACAAGTGGGGCACGCTGAGGTAGGGAAAGTCTCCTGCAAGGAAGAGTCCCCCCAATTGGCTCTCCCACACCAATGGTCTGACCCTGAACATATGCATACAGGTTACAGGTAACATTAACATTGTATGTACTGAGATGGTTGTATTTATGCACTTAGGTATATAAATGATGGTATGGTGGCTCACATCTCTAACCCTAGGAGGCAGAAGCAGGTGGATCAAGGCCAGCCTGGTCTGCACAGTGAGTTCCAGGGCAGCCAGGGCTAAACAGAGAGACCCTATCTTGAAAAAACAAAGAGGGGGGGGTAATAGGTTTTGCGTTTGATTAATTCTGATGTGTGATGATTTTATTTGTAAGTTGTTTATAGTAAAGTTTTAATAACTTTTTAAATAATCATAAATGACCTTACTTTAGTTCATGTCAATCTCAGCCACCAGATAGGGTTTTTTGTTTGTTTGGTTGGTTGGTTTTTTTTTAAAGGCATAGATTACAGCATTCTTGGAGTTCTTACTGGTCAATCTCTTCACTTTTTAGGAAGAAATCAAATCCAGAGAGGTGAAGTAACTAGCTCAGATTCGGGCCTAGTCAAAGGAAGCTTTCCGTGGGATGTGTCAGTGCTAGGCCTCTTTACCAGCAAGTGTAAAGTCCCAGGTTCAAGCCCTCAGCCCTTCCAGACTTTTTCTTGTAAAACCACCTAGTTTAAAATGGCTACTCAGCTTTCTCCAACCTCCAGCCTCGTCGGGTAAATTCCCCTGGTGGAAACTGAATTCCTTCCTCGGGGACTCGCTACTTGGGACTCTCACAGGACAGAGGTAAGAATTCTGAGAAATCTCAAAAGTTCTTTTCTGAAGTAGAACTCATTGCAAAAGGTGAGAAAATCCATACCTCAGGTCCCTTCCCCATCGTCAGTCTTGCCCCTGAGGACACAGGAAGCTGGAGGGGCAACCAAGCTGTGCCCTGTTCTAAGTTGCTGACCTGGTCGAGTTGTGTCAAACAGTGGCTTTCAGGCCACATCTTGTCCTGGTGACACCATTTTACAAAGCAGCAGTTGGCTCCATTTTGAGTGCAAATGCAGAGTCAGGATGACCCTGCATCTCATTTGTGCATGTAGACACCATCACCTGTCCTACACAAACCAGGAGGCACAGACTCATGCATTATTCCTACAAGTAAAACAGGCTGGAAAGATGGCTCAGCAGTTAAAAGCACTGGCTGCTCTCTTGGAAGATCCAAGTTTGATTCCCAGCACCCACATGGTAGCTCACCCACATGGCTGTAACTCCAGTCCCAGAGGAATCTGACACCCTCTCTGGATTCCACAAGTACTGCACACATGTGGTCCACAGACAGACATGCAAACAAAACACCCAGTGACAAAAATAAAAAATAAAGCCGGGCGGTGGTGGCGCACGTCTTTAATCCCAGCACTGGGGAGGCAGAGGCAAGTGGATCTCTGTGAGTTCGAGGCCAGCCTGGTCTACAAGAGCTAGTTTCAGGACAGCTAGGGCTGTTACACAGATAAACCCTGTCTCAAAAAAATCAATAAATAAATAAATAATGAGTTCGAGGCCAGCCTGGTCTACAAGAGCTAGTTCCAGGACAGGAACCAAAAACTACGGAGAAACCCTGTCTCGAAAAAGCCAAAATAAACAAATAAATAAATAAAAATAATAAATAAATCAAGCCAGGCATGGTGACACACACTTTTACTCCCATCTACATAGTGAGTTCCAGGACAGCCAGGGCTACATAGTGAGACCCTGTCTCAAAACAAACAAAGGAAACAAAACCATTGGAGGGCCAGCAAGATAGTTCACCACTTAAAGATAATTGTTTCCAAGACTGATGGCCAGTGTTGGATCCCTGGTACCCACATGGTAGACAGAAAGAAACAACTTCTGTAAGTTGTTCGCAGATCTTTACACAATTCCCGTGGCACTGTGCACAGGACACACACACACAGGCATACACAGGCACACACTAGACAAATTGTTCTAAAAAGTTTTAAGTAGAAAGATCAGGCCCATAAATTGAATGAACATACCAGACTGAGGAAGAAGGGTACAGTCTCCGTACCTCCACACTCGCACTCCCACAGACCCACAAAAGGAACGGCACCTAACACTGTGATGGACGGCCCCAGGGCTTGTCGTCTGGCCAACTCCCAGGTACATGCATGAAGGGACCAATAGGCAGAGGACATCTGCTGAGCACAGGCCCCACTGGTTGATGCAACCCACTTTCGAGGCCATTCTTCTGTCCATATTTCCATGCACCCATTTTTTGAGATAGTGCTGCACCTCGCTTACCTGCGATAGGGTGTCTTCTAGCTCAGCTCTGAGGTTCTGCTGGTCTCCAGCAGCTCCTTCACGGAGTTATTAATATCTAACCACCCACAGCGACTCTTTGTATCCATGTCCGCTCCTGGCCTCTGTATTCAATAGGGTGTTCAGAAGAAACTGTTGGTTACCAACAGTCACGGGTGCTCTCATGGGAAACTAGGACTCCTTGGTAAACTGTAGCCAACGAAACTGACATAGCTTGCAACTTTATTGCTTTTTAATGATCCTGACATGCTGACCTATGTTTCTGACACAGTGTGTGAGCGACATCTGTTTTTTGGACATTTCTTTTCTCTCCCATATCCTTACCTTTCAGGTGATAACTTTGACTCGGTGGACAAAATCCAACCAGAACTAACAAAGAAGGTTGGGCAGACAAGAAGGAAAGATGGGGACTGGTGGACTTTAGGAAGTAGAGAAGAGCCAGGCATTGGTGGTGCGCACCTTTAATCTGAGCACTTGAGAAGCAGAGGCAGCCTGGTCTACAGAGCTGATTCCAGGGCTGCTCAGGGAAGAAAGGGGAGGAAGAAGAGGAGGAAAAAGAGGAGGAGAAGAATGAAACTCAGAAGTACTTCACTTTGTTTTTTAAAAGTTACCCTTTCAGACAGGTATGCTAGCATACACCATTACTCTCAGCACTAGGAAGGCAGAGGCAGGAGGATCATTGTGAGTTCAAGGCCAGCAGGGTCCACATAGCCAGTTCCAGGACAGCCAGGGCTACATCATGAGATCCTGTCTCAAAGACAAACAATCAAAAAGAGTCACCCTTTTAGGGCTGGAGTGATTGTTCAGTGGTTAAGAGCACTGGCTGCTTTTTCAGAGGACCAGGGTTCAATTCCCAGCAACTACATGGTGGTTCACAACCATCTGTTACTCCAGTTCCAGGGGATCAGATGCCCTTTTCTGGCCTCCACAGGCACCAGGCATATACATGGTGCACAGACATACAAGTAGGCAAAACATGTACATAAAATACAATAATAAAAGGGGGCCAAAAAGCAAATTTTAGGGCTAGAGAGATAGCTCAGAGGTTAAGAGCACTGACTGCTCAGAAGACCTGATTCAATTCCCAGGTCATGGCAGCTCAAAACTGTCTGCAATCCAGCTCCAAGTGATTTGACAGCCTCACATAGACATACATGCAGGCAAAACACCAATGCACATAAAATAAAAATAAATAATAAATAAATAAAATTACATTTACTTATAAAAAAAAGATAAAAAGAAAGAATCACCCTTTTACACGCCTGTGAGACCAGATTTGAGAAGGGGAGGAAGCAATTCAAAACCAACCCACACTACATAACAAGTCCAAAGCAAGCCTGAGCTACATGAGAACCTGACCCAGCCACCCACCATGCGCACACAGACATAAAGTCACCTTTCACTTACTTATTTATTGTTTGTTTGTTTTGAGACGTTAAGGAAGGTCTGAGCTCCAGTGATTGCCCTGCCTCAGCCCCTGCAGTAAATTTATCTTAGAACCTCTGCTTGCAGCCTTTCCCCCAGGCTTCACAGCAAGGCTCTGCAGAGGAAGAATTCCATTTCTAACCTTTGTCCCCAGGCCTCCCAATAATAACAAGGGACAGACACCTCTCTCTCCAAACAATCCAGCTCTCCTCACATCCCCCGCTCCGTACTGTCACTGGTGACACTGGGACTTCCTGCCAACTTCCACCTGTACTGGCGTCATTTTTTTCAGGGCAGATGTTCAGCTGCTCTATCTCGGGCAAAAAGGAGTCGTGCCAGCCAGAGGTAAACTCCTCCCAGGGTCCGTGGCAGCCAGAACAGAGTGGAGGCCACTACTGTCGAGACCCTAAGAACTGGATCGGTGTCCTTCAGGGAGGACCTTCTCCAGCAATGGCTTCCTTCTTATTCTTGCTATTTTTGTTACTGACTCCAGCCACCATGGCCAACCTCAAAACTGATGGTCCATGTCCAGCATGTTGGGGGGCCGCCTTCGATCTGGAGAGCCAGCGGGAGCTGCTTCTCGATTTGGCCAAGAAAAGTATCCTGAACAAGCTACACCTCCGCCAGCGCCCCACACTGAGTCGGCCTGTGTCCAGAGCTGCTCTGAAGACCGCACTGTGGCGCCTCCGTGCGCCTCGACAGGAAACCCTGCTGGAGCAGGACCAGACACAAGAGTATGAGATCATCAGCTTTGCTGAGACAGGTGGGTCCATGGTCTGCAGCTCTGACCCCAAACCTGACCCTGGAAAGAGAAAATCTCCTCCCCAACTTCGCTCTGACGGCCTCTCCCAAGCCATCCATCCAGCTCCTGCCCCACACTTCTCTATGATAGGTCAGGTCTACCTGGCTGGAGCTGGGTGGGAGCTGCTGCTGTTTTACTTCTGAAACTGCTTGTTCTCTCTCCTCTGCTCTCTCTCTCTCTCTCTCTCTCTCTCTCTCTCTCTCTCTCTCTCTCTCTCTCTCTCTCTCTCTCTCTCTCTCCCCATAACTCTCCCCGTGTAAACCCACCATTCCCCAGGCCAAGGGCTGGTTACTGGTGAGTTTGTGATTTCTCTGGCCCCAGGGTCTATCACTTGAGCGCCCCATTTATGTAAAAAGAGAAGTAAAACACCACGATTATAAAACCTCTCCATACCTCAGGTTCTCATGTCAGAACAAGGTCAAATAGCACTCAAACAGAGGTGAAAACAAACCATGAAGAAACTCAGTCTCGGACCAGGTGTGACTGTGCGCACCTTTAATATCAGCACCCAGGAGGGAGACTGATCTCTGAGTCCAAGGTCAGCCACAGTGAGAGGTGAGACCCTGTCTCAAAAAACAAAGCCAATAAATAATATTTTGTAAAAAAAAAAAAAATCAGTAAGCCAAGTGAGGTGGGGCACATCTTTAATCCCAGCACTTGGGAGGCAGAGGCAGGCGGATCTCTAAATTTGAGGTCAGCCTGGTCTACAGAGCGAGCTCCAAGACAGCCAGGGCTACACAAAGAAACCCTGTCTCAGAAACAACAAAAAGGTAAATGTAGAGGAAAGAAAAAAATGCTTCCACAGAGAAAAGAGCTGGAGAGAAGATAAGGAAATCTTAGCACTAGAAGCAAAATGCAAGGAAGGATACTGCAAGCTTCCTCTCGGGTGTGGGCGCCGCCACTCCTCACGGGGTCCTAGCGCCTTTCCCCTGGTGCGTGGTCCCTACTCTCGCTCCCTCGAAATCCAGCACAAACTTTGCAGCCACGTAGCCTGGCGCCCACTCTTGCAGGGCCATTTTAGCTGAGTGACCTGGGTAGTTAGTAGCCAGTTTCTCATCCGGAAACGAGGCTAATGAGAGGATGGCTTAGAAATGTAAGTGGGTTAATATCGGTAAAGTCCTTAGGATGTGGGAAAAGTAGGAAGGAGCAGGAAATAGGGAGGAGTCCACTCCTGTCCAGCAAGGCTCTCCTCTCTCTGTAACTTCTCGTGGCAGAAAGAGACAGGAACCGCTCTGAAGTCTCTTTTAATAGGACAGGAATCCCCTCTCCAGGGCTCCACCCTCATGACCTCCCAAAGGCTCCACCTCCAAATACTATCACCTTGGGATTCGGATTTCAACATTTGTTTCTTCTTTTTTGAGACAAGGTCTCCTTAAGTAGCTCAAGCTGGTTTGAACTCACAATATAGCTCACATTGGCCAAACATTCGTGACCTTCCAGCCTTAGCATCCAAAATGCTGGGATTACTGCCCCGTGCCCAGCTTCAATATATGAATTTTGAGGGGACAGAAGCAAAAAAAAATCCATAGCAGTCTTTTTCCAGGAAGCCTCTATCACTTTAACCCTACCCTCTTTAAACATGGTGGCTGGCTTCCCAGAGGCCAGTGTCAGAGTAAATAACTGCCCGGCTTCTGCATACACTTTGTTTACTTTTATCCCGTGGACAAAGCATGTCACTGTGGCCAAGTCCACAACTGGGGTGGAATGGAACTGGATCAATTCATGCAACCCAGAAGGTGATCCCTAGGGGCTGCCAATAAAGTGATCTAATGGTCTATGCTCTGGGCTGCCAATACAGCAATCTAATGGTCTATCCTCTGGGCTGCCAATATAGATCTAATGGTCTATGCTCTGGCCCCTAATAACTCATTTCCTTCCCCATATACAGTCACCTGTCCTGGACTCTTCCATGTCACATGTCCGTCCATCATAACATTAGGATCAGGTTTGAAGTCCATGGTCTCATCACATGAAACAAGAGGCTAAACAATGAGGCTCCTCGGGTATTTTTCTCCAGGTTCAGGGATCTTTAGTGGCATCCTGAAACTGGCTCGCGCTGCCTTGTGACCGCTGATGGTGAGCATACCTGGATTCAGTTATTGCACATTAGATGCTTAAAATTGGACCTCATGGAAGAATTTGTCAATCACAGCAAACCAGGGCTCTTAAGGGTCCCCTCCTGGAGACGAGCTATCCACACTGTTGCCCATGTCCTAAAAATAAGTTACATCTTCCCCCTACCCACCTAACACTCTTCCCTCTCTGCCAGATCTTGTTGGCTTCAGAAATCTCATGATCTTCTCTCCTAAATGCTGGGACAGGTGTGCACCAAGCCTGGCATTGCTTTGATCCCTTAAAAGCTGGGACAGGTGTGTACCACCAAGCCCAGCACTAATCCATGAAAGTCCTGATCTTCTGTCCAGCACAGAGCTCAGTCTACACAGATAATTCCCTGGGGCCTGATTCTGCTTTGTGGGGAGCTCTGGGCTCCTAAGTCTATAGTCCTAACCCTTGGATCTTTACCATCAAAAAGTGCCCTTACTTTTGAACAGGAAATGACCTGTGTTTGCAAGAGAGTGCAGAGCTCTCTCTGATTTGTTTGTTTGTTTGTTTGTTTTAAGATAGGATCTCACTTGGCAGACCTTGGAACTCACGCTGTAGACCAGGTTGGCCTCTAACACATAGAGATCCACCTGCCTCTGCCTCCTAAGACACCCAGCCCTTTTCCTTGTTTGTATTTTTGCAATGCTGAGGACAAACACTCTACTGAATGATATCCTTAGCTCCCTCTTTTTATTTTGAATTATCTCCATTCCTTTTAGGAAAAACTGCTGCTCCTTTGATTATTAAGATCTTCTTTAAAACCATGGGCTCAGCAACCTTCTCTTGAGAAACCTGAGCCTACTCTGGAGTATATCATACTGTCTCCCCTTTTCTTTTCTTTTTTTTTTTCAGATTTTTTTTTTATTTTTTTGGTTTTTCAAGACAGGGTTTCTTTGTGGTTTCGGAGCCTGTCCTGGAACTAGCTCTTGTAGACCAGGCTGGCCTCGAACTCCCAGAGATCCGCCTGCCTCTGCCTCCCGAGTACTGGGATTAAAGGCGTGCACCACCACCGCCAGGCTTTTTTTCAGATTTATTTACTTATTATGTATACTGCCTGATTGTATGCGTGCGCACCAGAAGAGGGCACCAGATCTCATTATAGATGATTGTGAGCCACCACGTGGGTGCTGGGAATTGAACTCAGGGCCTCTGGAAGAGCAGTCAGTGCTCTTAACCCTTCAGCCATTTCTCCAGTCCATTAGTGTCTCCTCTTAAGCCTCTCTCTTTCCCTTGCTCTTTCCCTTGTAGTCTGAGTCAGGTGTTCCGGGTTTTTATACAAGTGATTAAAAATAAAGGCTCACACAGACTTGCAAAGAAGCAAGATAATTTTATTTGGAGCAAAGTGACAATACAGATTAACTGGGGTGGGGGTAACTGGGTCACATGACTAGAATCCTCGAGGGCTCCAAATATTCCTTTCATGGGGTTCAAGAAAAGGAGGAGTAGTCTATGTGGTTCATGATTTTGATTAATAGATTCAGCCACACATTCGTTTTTCCTGCTGTCCATGTCCCTTCCCACAATGCATCAGACTTCAGTCATATGCACACCAATTATGCATAGACATTAGATGGAAAACAGGGAGTCTCTCTGAAAAGTCACTAAAAGCGAGGTCTGCCATGCACCCAAAGCCAGTTCAGTCCAGACCAGCCCTCCTGTTCTTCATACCTGACATGCTGGGAATGTATTTGAATACAAACTGTCCTGAATGTGGTTGTTACCAGGGGCAGAGGCGCTCATATTCTTGAATGGGAGAACATGTAGCCCAGTGCATGGGGCTTGGAGTCCTAAGAGTGCTGGGTGCCTGGTTTGCAGAGGGTTGTTTGTGTCTAGTTTGCGCAAGTGAAGGAACTACGCTGCCAAGTGCAAATTTTGTTGTTGCTGTTGTTGTTGTTTGAGACAGGGTTTCTCTGTGTAGCTTTGGAGCCTGTCCTGGAACTAGCTCTTGTAGACCAGGCTGGCCTCGAACTCACAGAGATCTGCCTGCCTCTGCCTCCCAAGTGCTGGGATTAAAGGCGTGCGCCACCACTGCCGAGCAAACAATAGGATCTTAGTAACCTCGGAGTCAACTGAAAAGGAAGAAAAATTATTTTCTTTTTCTTTCTTTCTTTTTTTTT